GATTAGTAAATTACGTGACTTTTTGTGTAAATCAACCAACCGAAATTGCGAAATTTTGTAAAAGTTAAAAAATAAAGAAAAAAGACGAAAAACAGCAGTCTAAACCTGTCTTGGGGCACCAATTAAAAATGTTGGGAAAGCAATTTTACCCGCACCCCTCTTCTTATATCAACACCAAAATAACCCTAATCCTAACCTTAATATTAAAACGATTAAAGCGTCAAAATCACGTGGGTACATGGCTTTAGCCATCCTCCAAAAAATAAGTATAAGAAATTACTGCAGAGATAAGTACTCACTAATATTCATTTTCGGCAGTTATCATATCCCTGCTTTCTATAATCCTAAGCAGCACACCTTTCATTCAAGGATATTGATTTCAATTCGTCTCGACGCAGAGTTTGTATCCTTTTCCTTATCCAGGTAACTTGTCCTATGGTATTGTTTAGAAAAGATTATTATATTGTCAACTTTGAAGTAAATCAATGAAACTAAATATGTGTGTATACCATTCGAATTTTCCTTTTTCACGCCGCATTTCGGCTTCAAATTTTGTATCTTGACAACGGAGCAACCTCATGAAAGAATCTTATTGTTCAGATAATTCAACCTTTGCTAAAGAATGTGAATACTTGGAGACAATTCCTTCAAATGTTCCAGTTCATTTTTCTATTTTGTTCTAAAATGCATTGAATTATGGCAATGAACAACTGCTACATAAATTTCTTGATATATCAATTTAATATAATCATGATACCTTGGGTTTGTTTTTTGAGGTGTTTAAAGTCATTCGTTGGAAAAAAATTTGATTGAGTCCTTGTAATTTCTGCTCAGTTTCAATTAATGGTTAACCTAGTCAATTCTGATTGTCGTCCGATTTGCTTTACTTTCTTTCGATTGGCTAATGTTTCTTATTTCTTGTTAGTTTTGACGGTTTTCTAGTTATTAATGATTATTGTGATTTGGTTGTTACTTGTTTAAGTTCTTCCTTGTACATACGTTGTAAGTTTTCCAATGCTTGGATATCTTCAATTTTCTGCTTATCATAATTGGATTAACTGTATGATCTAATTTACGAATAATAGTTGATTAGTAAATCCAAAAATAAGTATGAAGAAATTACTGCAGAGATAAGAAGTACCCACTTATAATCATTTTCGGCCATTATCATATCCATGCTTTCTATACTCCCAAGCAGCACACTTTCCTTCAAGCATATTGATTTCAATTCGCCTCGACGTAAGTTCGTTATAGAGTTTGTAAGGTGAATTAATCCCTTTTCCAGGTAACTTGTCTTATGGCATTGTTTAGAAACGATTAATATATTGAGATAAATCAATGAAGCCAAATTTTTGTATATACCATTCGATTTTTTCCTTTTCAACGCCACATTTTCGGCTGGCTTTGCAACAGAACGACCTCATGAAAGAAAGCAAGACTTGACCTTCTGATAAAAATTTGATTATCTGGTGATAATTCCTTCAAAACATTCCAATTCATTTTTTAAGTCATGGTTGTTTTTAAAATTCTGGATAAATATTGATTGTTCTAAAATACATTAAATTGGGGCAATGAACAACTGCTATATACATAACTTGATATATCCAATTTAATATAATAATAATACCTTGGCTTTGTTTTTTGAGGTGTCTAAAGTCATTCGGTCGGAAAGAAAGTTGATTGAGTCTCAATTAATTGTTATCCTAGTAAATTCTGATTGTAATATTTAATCGTCCAATTTGATTACTTTCGATTGGCTAATGTTTCTTAGAGCCTTGTAATTTCATGGGCAGAGGTTTTCTATAATATCAAAAGTCAACTTATTTAGTGATTATAAAAAAATGTCGTTCTAAAGCAGCAACCATAAAATTATATGCAATGTACTGTCTACCTAGATTCTGCTTCGATCCGTTCAGCTTTTGCAAATACTTCTTTCCCGATCCTGGTAGAACTTAATATCGATTTCGATCCTTTTGCTCAAGAACAGTAATTTGCATTTGCAGATAAATAATCTTTTTGAAATTAAAATTTTCATTTTTCAATCATAAATGACTGTAGTAATCTTAATAACTAGGCAATTTTAGAATTGTAACTCTTCATCGTTACGACACAGAACTTCAACTGCATAAAAGATTATTTCAGAATCAGACGGATTTTTTAGTTGTTAATGATTATTTTGATTAGGTTGTTACTTGTTTAAGTTCTTCCTTGTACATACGTTGCAAGTTTTCCAATATTTGGATGCGTTCAATTTTCTGCTTATCATAATTGGATTGTAGGTGTTGCTCTTCTTTATCTTATGATTTGTCCTATGGTATTGTTTAGAAACGATTAATCTATCGTTCATCTTTGAGATAAATCAATGAGACTAAATTTGTGATATATACCATTCGATTTTTTCCTTTTTCAGCGCCGCATTTCGGCTTCCAATTTTGTAGCTTGGCGACGGAGCAACTTCATGAGAGAATCTTAATGTTCAGATGGTTCAACCTTTTCCTAAAGAATGTGAATACTTGGAGACAATTCCTTCAAACGTTCCAGTTCAATTTTCAAGTCATAGTTGTTATTCTCCAAATTCCGGAAATGTATTGATTATTCTAAAATGTATTGAATGGCAATGAACCATTGCTATATAAATATCTTGATATTTCCAATTTAATATAATCGTAATACCTTGGATTTGTTCTTTGAGGTGTCTAAAGTCATTCGGTTGGAAAGAAAGTTGATTGAGTCTTTGTAATTTCTGCTCAGTTTCAATTAATTGTTACCCAAGTCAACTCTGATTGTAATATTTAATCGTCCAATTCGTTAATTTCATGTTGGAGCCTTGTAATTTCATGGGCAGAGGTTTGCTATAATATCAAAAATCAACTTATTTAGTGATTGTAAAAAAAATGTCATTCTAAAGCAGCAACCATAAAATTATATGCAATGTACTGTCTACCCAGATTCCGCTTCGATCCATTCAGCTTTTGCAGATACTTCTTTCCCGATCCTGGTAGAACTTAATATCGATTTCGATCCTTTTGCTCAAGATCAGTAATTTGCATTTGCAGATAAACAATCCCTTTGAAATTAAAATTTTCATTTTTCAAGCATAAATGACTGTAGTAATCTCGATCACTAGGCAATTTAAGAATTGTAACTCTTCATTACGTTACGACACAGAACTTCAACTGCATAAAAGATTATTTCAGAATCAGACGGATTTTTTAGTTGTTAATGATTATTTTGATTGAGTTGTTACTTGTTTAAATTCTTCCTTGTACATACGTTGCAAGTTTTCCAATACTTGGATGCGTTCAATTTTCTGCTTACCATAATTGGATTGTAGGTGTTGCTCTTCTTTATCTTATGATTTCGCAAACCAAATCTTCAACATCTCCGCTTATTTTATGCAGCAAACTTTGTAAGTGTATTTTCCATAGATTTATATCTAATTTACGAGTAATAGTTGATTAGTAAATCCAAAAATAAGTATGAAGAAATTACTGCAGAGATAAGAAGTACTCACTTATATTCGTTTTCGGAAATTATATATCCATGCTTTTATACTCATAAGCAGCAACTTTCCTTCAAGCATATTGATTTCGACGTAACTTCTTTATAGAGCTTGTAAGATGAATTAATCCTAAGTTTCTCCATTTCCTTATCCAGGTAACTTGTCCTATGGTATTGTTTAGAAACGATTAATCTATCGTTCATCTTTGAGATAAATCAATGAAACTAAATTTGTGATATATACCATTCGATTTTTTCTTTTTTCAACGCCACATTCCGGCTTCAAATGTTGTAGCTTGACAACGGAACAACTTCATAAGAGAATCTTAATGTTCAGATGGTTGAATACTTGACTTAATGCTTCTAATATTAGCAAGTTTGAGTGAGCTTATTACAATATTTTGGAACCTTTAAGTTTCACGGACAAAAGTTTGTTACAATATAAAAGACAACTTACGTATTTAGTGATTGTAAAAAAAAAACGTCATTTTAAAGAAAATTATACTAAAAGGCACAAAGAAGGTAACATCAAGAAAAAAAAAAAGTGGAGTTAACGAGAACAAAAAGAAATGACCCAAGGACTTATCCATGCCTAGTCTTCGACCAATAGTAAATATGATGACTTATGACAAATCATATTATAAAAGAGCGCTAGACCTTGTTGAAAGTTCATAGTATGCTCCTTGTAAGTATAATCACCTTTATCAAAAGTCATCACATAAAAGAATCTTCCATCTGATAAGAAGGCGGAAAATAATCGTCGGCTAGGCTGCTGTTGGACTAAAATGTAGATATAATCCAACAGCTGGCCCTTGTCCTCATCAGTCAGGCCGGACACACATTTCTGACGTTTTATTTCGAGCACTGTGAGAACATTACTAGAAATAAATGTGCCATACTCCGCATCTGCAGAGTCAACAACGCTTATATCAGGAATATAGCCTGACAAATAAGCGATGTTGTGTGTGTCTGCAGCAGTTACCAACACCCACAGAGAACTTGCAACTCTCATCAAGCCATTAAACCATTCTTGCACATCATGTTCAGTGTATCGCTATTTGGCATTTGATTTTCAGCCAAATAACTCTGAATCAGTTCTGGCAAGATTAATGACTTAGATGAAAAGTCGAGTTCTCCTAGCTCAACACATCCGAAAGCTACTTTCTTATAAATTTCAGATCGTGTTATGGAGTCTATTAAACATGAAAATTAATGACAATAATATTAATAAAAGTAAAATAACAAGTATCAATTCAATATCTATTATTTAAAACCAAATTAATCTTACGTGGTAACTCTAGCTGCCTATCTGACGAGGCCGCACCTTCTTCATCAGAGGTTTTTCTTTTTTTGGATTGCGCTGCCGAAGCAGTAACCGTCCCTTTACTATTGGTTGCAACCGGCACTTCATTTTTAATATCTTTGAGTACATTTTTTTTGTTCCGTTTGCTCCAAATATTCTTAAGTTCTTGGATGTCAGCCTTTGCAAGAAAAAAGTGAGATTGATCAAATAAATAAGTTAGAACCGTCAAAACGAATCGCAGGCTAAACAGCAATAAAAAAACCTATATAACAAAATTTTGCCTAATTAACTAACCTTCTTTGTGCCTAAAAGTTGCCTAACCTTCCCTCTGATTTCTGGATCCTTCGAACTTTTTTTGATGCTACCCAGCGTACTGTAGAACACTCAACTAATCTGTTCGAAACTTAGACTATTGTCGCTGAGCTTTATGCACGAAAAAAAGTTCTGTAAGGACCAGAGATCAAAAGGGAAGGTTTCGAAATATTTACTGCAGACTGATGGCATGATTAAAAAAAACGAAGATGTAAATTTTTTATTAAAAAAAAAGAAGCGTCTCAGAAAGTTGAATCAAGAAAAGCTTTACTACAAAGTTCGAAATACAGAAAACACTAACACGTAATCTGACCAATTATATCATAAGATCGGTATAACAAAACATCATATTCTTCTTTTCAAATATATCAAAGATCGGCATAACAACGCGATTGGACATAGCTGCCGCACCAATTTTGTCACAGATGATTCTTGATTTTGATTGGTTAATGGCCGTGATCTACAAAATTTTGGCCCGCATTACATAATTGTTTATATAATTTTTGGCCAGAATTAACTTTTTAACTTTTCCATTCCCAAAATGGAAATTTTTAGAGAAATAGGCCCGCACAATAATAAAATTGGCCCAGGAATATTTTTCACTTAATGTGCGGCTGTGGTTTCATTAGTAAAATTTCGAGTAATATTGGCCTAAATTTTTGATCGTCACTCATAGCCAATCAAAATCGAGAATCATCTGTGACAAAATTGGTGCGGCAGCTAGGATACTAATTTCAGGTTTACTAACCAGTTTCTATTGGATGTACATAAATCCAGCATTTGATTGGATGAAACTTTCTATAAGTATGTACATTAAACCAATAATATCTATCGTTATAGCAGTATAAAGGTTTTAAAAAAACATATCTAAAATTTTGCAAGGAATCTTTTTTGTTAGAACACGAAAGGCAATTTCATAAATAAAATTTTGAGTTATTGAAAATTATAAAAAACTTCGATTCTTTTTCTTGTAATTTTATGTTACATCGGCTCTTGTAATTTGATTTGAAGTGTGGCGTAGTCTGCTTTGTCCAAAGATGCTAGTTACACATGATCAATCAGAAGTGTTGGAGAAATTAGGGGTATTTTTCCGCGTATACTTATTTCTGCAAGTGATACAAACCCAAAAAGGAAATTTTTATATATAGATCGCAAAATCAGGTGCAATCTTCATGTAATGTAAAATCGAAGCTTTTTCAAAACATTGCCGGTAACTCAAAATTTTGCCTAGGAAATCTCTTTTTACATTCTAATTAAAAAAAAATACCTAGCCAAATTTATTATATGACTACTAATGCTAGTAAAATTTCACATGTTGTTAGCGAAATAGCAACAAAATATTGGCATATAATTTGTATCACTTGTAAACCAAAACAATTACTTTTTTTCGAAAAGTACATTTATTTCAAAATTTCATCTAAGAAATCACCTTTTGGGTACTAACAAAAAATTTTCTTGCAAAATTTTAGATTAATGTTGCTCAATAATGCTAACCCTTCTTAAAAAAAAAAAAATAAATAAAAAATAATGCTAACCCTAACCTAGATGTCACATTTTAATTATCCCGAAATGTTTTTAAAAATCTCAAAATAGACAATTTTTACTAATAACAATGCCAAAGGCTTGTTTATTGATATAACAGTTAAAGTGCTATTTATTTTTACAAAGACTTCGTTTTTTTCCTTATTATGCCGGTTTGGAAATTTTTACTTACATTTAACAAAACCTTAATCTCAAAGTCCCAGAATAGTTTCTTAAGATTCTAAAATAAGCAAAACTTTTACTGGTAACAACATCAAAAATTTGAAATGTAGCAATGCACTGTATAATATATGCTGAAATGATTTTAAAGAAAACTTGATGCAATATTTTTATTTAAATCAGGCACTAAGTAATAATTGCTTTTTTAATATTATGAGTCTGCAAAATTAATTTATTTAAAAAAAAATTATTTATAATATATGTATTTCACAATGAGTTCAATATTTTATACTATAAGTGAAGTTGTTAATTATTAATATGGGTAATTTCATCACTTTTGTTATATCATATATTAATATTACAAGTTAAAAAAGTTTACAATTAATATTTTATCTAATTATTGCTATTTAAGACTAAGCTTTTAGGATTATATATATATCTATTTTTTTTTTGAAACTATTGGCAGTCTTGCTAGTATCTTTTATTAGATCAAAGCATATGTACAAGTACATACTATAAGTATCTAAACTATAAATTCAATATCACTTGGCTTGTTCAAGTGTAGTCTGGTACACCAGTTAAGGTTATTGTCTATATCAGGAGCTGTACCAAGCTAGCCAGCAAAACTATAATAAAATAGTTTTGATTTGAATAAATTTTAGCTATATTTAATTGGCAATTATCTCTTTCTAAACTATCCACCTCTTTAAAACAATAATCTATTTTTAGTTTTATTCTAATATCTAATTTATTTTTATCTTTTATCATGTTATTATTGCCAAAGTTCTTTTAATTAAGTTTAAGCTTTCTCCTTCTCTTCTTCCAATTTATTCTGTTTTCTCGAAAGGCAACTTAGCTCTTAAAAGTCTTCTTTTGTTCTTCTTTTTACAATTTTTTTTTTATTTGTAACTCTGCATTCTTTTTTTCTAGAATATTCATTCTCAATGTCTTTTCTAAAAGCATTCTTTAATTCTTAAACTGTAATTTTTGGCAGACAAATTTGGCTGCTAAAATTTAATATTATTGTGTTTTGATCTAATTTTACAAAAAAATTAAGCTATTTTAAAAATTTTTATATAATAATATTTAAAAAATAAAGATTATAAAATAGTAATATTTGAGAGTATGGTGACTTAGTAAAGTAGTGAAGTTGTTGACCCCCAAGCAGCATATCAAGAGTATAAATTCAACTATTGATAAAATTTAAATATTTTGTTATAGAACAGTTGCTGTCTTTTATTGATTAGTTAGATTTAGAATTTGTAATCAAGGTTGTATCAGATATCTAAAAAGATTATTAGATATTCATATAATGTATAAATTCTACAAAAATATACAAACTAGTAATAATTAATACAAATCTACAATAAGTTCTAATAACTGTATAAAACCAAGAAACCAGAAAAACAGATACCTGCTTGGCAAGTCCTGAGTAGAAAAGTAGTACGGATTTTTGATACCGTACGGCGCTGACTACAGTACCCGGGGTACTATTTCAAAAACTATCAAATTTCTTGAATAGTACTCACTCAGGTACTAATTATGGAGAAGGATACGCAAATATGGGGATACTATGTAAGGGGGTACTATAATAGGGAGGTCTTTTACATAGCTATAGTTAGCAATATGAGAAGTCCAGTCTGGTCCTCAACTTCAAAAGTTGATCTTTGTTAAAGCTCGGTCCCAAGTCCGACTTAGAACTTCGATTTATATTTGCACGTGTATTTAGTATATTTAGATTTAGCATGCATTCGATTTTCTAAAGATACTAGATGCACATGCAAACACAAGTCGCC